TAGGCTTTAGGGGTTTTGGGTTTAGGTTTAGCTTTAGGCTTTAGGGGTTTAGGGTTTAGGTTTAGGCTTTAGGCTTTAGAGGTTTAGGGTTGAGGTTTAGGCTTTGGGCTTTAGGGGTTCAACGGTTGAGGGTTTGGAGCTTGGGGTTTAAACTCGTCAGCAGTTGAGGTTAATGTAGAAGCTTGAATCATTTGTGATAACTACTCGCTCAGGGTTTGTTACTCTGAATGCGGCATTGTGTACGCCAACGCCCATCCTAATGGGAAGGCCCGCTTATAAGTTCGCCAAAAGAGGTCTTCATGTAGGATCCTCATCTTCAGGATCCGACTTGTTCGGGTTTCCATATATGATCATATATGCATACTGGGTATCCTAACCTTAAAGCCCTTGACAAAGGAGGTTTTATTGATCAGGGGTCTGCATTATGAGCCAAGGTATATTCCTGATTTAACAGGCATTGGCCTCTTCAGCCATGTCACTGCCATGTCCGGAGCAATGTCCAGAGCCGTCACTCGTTTCGTTGGTTCAGGGTATTGGTGCAGGTTTGCATGGGTTGCGGTTCAGGGTTTCGAACATCAACAGGATTCAGGATGCCTGAACGCCTGAAGGCTTTGCATACATAAACCCTCAACCCTGAGCACAAGCCTTGGAAGACCTGGGTAACCGGTGCGTGTATGTTGAGTTTGCATGTATTTTGAGTTGGCCCTTGCGGGGCAGAGTGCTTTCTGTCCAGACTCAGCACACAAGCGACCCCAAAACGTAAACCCTGTTCTTATACTGTACATTCGAAACTACATTGCCGACTATATACTCTGTACTCTATTTCATATACTGTATATACTGTACACAATCTACTATAAAAATACATTGCTTTCTCTATGCGTGCGACCTACATATTCTCCGTGTTATATAGTGTACACTATACTGTGTATACGATGTGCCGTCTGCTGTGCACTATGTACTTTCTGTCATATTGTACATGCTAGAAGCAGCAGGGAATATTCGATTTACCAACGGTGCCATACTATGTTCCATGGACTACCTAGCGCTACTTGCTATCGACCAGGCCATATACTACAGACTCCATGATGTATGCGCTATATGTTATGTGATATCTACAAAAGGCTATAAAACACATACTGCGCATTATATTCCGTTTCCGCATACTCTGTTTACCGTGAGCTTACTTGCTAGTACTTCTTACGATTTACGATCTACTCTGTGCCGTACGCGATACACTAGCCACTATCTCGTTGACACTGTCCACTCTACATGGTGCACATTACACTACACACTGTGGATCACGCAATATACACTATACACTGGACCACTGTACAGCAAACGCTATACAATAGACCATTTTGTAATAGACCATTTTGTAATAGACAGTATGCACTGAATGTGACATCGCATGGTTTGGATACTGCTAACTGTCTTCTGTCAGAAATATACGATGTGCTTTATAAGACATGCTACATGTGATGATACCAAACTATACTAGACTATACTATACTACGCTACGCTACACTACACTGTGCTACACTGTACTGCACTATACTACACTCTACTTCACTATATATACCATATGCTGTATACTGCTAACTTTTCCCATGCATGATCTCTCGCACCATGTACGTTCGTATAATATAAGATGGTAAGATATCACACCATAGCACAATATAGCAATGTAGCATGACATATAATATGACATCATACAGTATAGCATCGTGTACCATGATTTAATATGACAGCTCTAAACCCTAAACCCTAAACCCTAAACCCCAAACCCTAAACCCTTAACCCTAAGCCTAAACCCTAATCCCTAAACCCAAACCCTAATTCCTAAGACAGATTTTGCCACCCTAGATATAGTATGACAACTCTAAACCCTAAACCCTATATATAAACCCTAAACC